ATGGCTGTCATGTGGTTGCTAGCGTGTTCTGGGTGGTTGACAGAGGGTTGCTTCTTCTGGGGTGTTGCTATGTGGTTGTCAGGGGTTGCTAGGGTGTTCTGGGTGGTTGCCAGAAGGTTGTTACTTCTGGGTTGTTGCTATGTGGTTTGTCAAGGGGTTGCTAGGGTTTTCTGGGTGGTTGCCAGAGGGTTGTTTCTTCTGGGGTGTTGCTATGGGGTTGTCAGGGGATTGCTAGGGTGTTCTGGGTGGTTGCCAGAGGGTTGTTTCTTCTGGGGTGTTGCTATGTGGCTGTCAAGGGGTTGCTAGGGTGTTCTGGGTGGTTACCAGAAGGTTGTTTCTTCTGGGGTGTTGCTATGTGGTTGTCAGGGGGTTGCTAGGGTGTTCTGGGTGGTTGCCAGAAGGTTGTTTCTTCTGGGGTGTTGCTATGTGGCTGTCAAGGGGTTGCTAGGGTGTTCTGGGTGGTTGCCAGAAGGTTGTTTCTTCTGGGGTGTTGCTATGTGGTTGTCAGGGGGTTGCTAGGGTGTTCTGGGTGGTTGCCAGAGGGTTGTTTCTTCTTGGGTGTTGCTATGTGGTTGCCAAAGGGTTGCTAAGGTGTTCTGGGTTGTTGCTAGGGTGTTCCACATAGCTGCTTTGTGTTTTCTTCCTGTCTGGTGTGAAATGCATCTCTGGTCTTCTGGTCTGTAGAAGTGTCTCGGGTTCCTCCTTCATTGTGTGTCTGTGGGAGTTTTCAGCAGGTGAAATGCTGCATCTGATCCCTCAGCAAATTCCTCAACAGCACTCACAATTCGCACACGCTGAACCAACATGAATATATGAATATAAAAACACTCATGATCTTTTATTCTATTCTGTACATATGTAACTTCATACATCACGTTAACATTAGGCACAACTTAATCAGAAGCTCATCTGCGAATCGATTTGTTTCACTTTCACGCCACAAAATCTATTAAAAGTCACAGCGGAGCCTTTTCCTCATGACCTACAGGTTCATATCAAACACTCCTGCATTGCTTTTATAGGGAAAAGGAATGCTGTATATTTTTGATGGTCAAACGACTCATTTTAAATGAGCAGTACAGAGAACTGCTGCTCTAATAATTCAACCATTTCCCATCAGTCAATCTGTTCACATGTATCTGTTTTTGATGTACTCGCGGTACATGAGCACGTCCTCCTGACCCAACCACGACCCGTCTGAACGTGACACTCGAACACCTCATGGCTCTGAATGTCCAACTCCGGAGCCAAAACCTCATAGATGCTGTCCGACGGGAACAGAGACACCGGAGCGCTGGTCCAGCCTTCACACTCATCCAATCTAAAATAAGAAGAAAAGGACTAAATGAACTTTAAAGTGACCTATTCTCTCATAAAATGCAAGAGCAGTGACAATAAAACGTAAATGAATGTAAATGAAGCAGTAAGTCATGAATTATACATGATACATATTCAGATAAGGCACATGTAGACAGACATGAGTCACGCTCTATATTTGATGTTTCTATTGCTGCTAGACTATTAGAATTAATTCTTGCCTAATCACGGGCTGCTATTATGATCGTTCATCTCATCGCTTATTCATGACTGCTTTGCTTTGGATCTCAAATCCTACAGTTGACTGCAATTACAAGTAGAGAGTTAGTTTTTCTGGAGCTAAATATGCATGACCTCTTCTGACACCAGATGGATGTGAACCGGCACGTATGTGATGGTAAATGAAGAAAATTATGTCTGTGACGGACTCGGAGCTGCTTTCTGATGAGCGATACGAGCTCAAACGCAACAGGAAACAGAAACAACTGTGGAATTATTATAAAGTTAATAATTAACTTCACACCATAATCATGTAAATTTGGGTTGGGTGTAAATTTAAAATTAGAAAACAAAAAACAGATTATATTATCACTTAATATGAGGTCATATAATAACAATAATAATAAAAAAAATTATATAATTTGTGAAACTTGATTTAAGTCTTTAGCACTCTTTATATGGATGTTATTTAATGGTGCAAAACATTTAATTTATTCTAAACAAAATAAAATTTAAATTTAAAAAATACATACAATTTAAAATTAGAATACAAAAACTGAATTTGAAAAGTATTTAGTGCTGTCAAATGATTAATCGCGATTAATCATATCCAGAATACACGTTTTTGTTTACATAATATGTGTGTGTACTGTGTATATTTATTATGCGTATATAAATATGCACACATATATGTATATATTATCAACCGGAACTGGGAACACTTCCCATAACACCCGATATACTTACATTGTTAGAAGCATGGCATCTACGCTAATATTAGTCTGTTTTATATATTTAAGAAAAATATGTTATGTTTACATATTAAATATATTTATATATAATATAAATTATATGAATATAAATATATACATGTAAATATTTTCAAAATATATACTGTATGTGTGTATATGTTTATGTATATATAAATATGCAGTACACACATACAGCATATTATGTAAACAAAAACTTTTATTTTGGATGCGATTAATCGTTTGACAGCACTACGTGATAAATTATTATTATTATTATTAACAACAGCAATAATAATAATTATCATAATAATACAAATAAATACATAAATAAGCAAAGCTTGATTAAGTCATTAGCACTCTGTATGGGTATTATTTAAATATAATGCTGCTAAACATATTTAATTAAATTGATTCTAAATAGAAATAAAAAATAAATATATACAATTAGAAAACAAAAACTGGTGTTTAAGTATTAAAAATATCAATCTAATATGAGGTGATATATTAATAATAATCTTAACAATAAATAAATAAATTTAAGTCATTTGCATTCTTTGTATGGCTGAATTAATCACAAATGAAATGGAAGTGTGAAACAACATCAATGACACACATTACATTAATTAAATATATGGGTGCTAAACATTTCATCTAATGTATTAAAATAGGTATATACTGTATA